TTTTTTTTTTTTTTTTTTTTTTTTTTTTTTTAATTTATTTATTTTTGGTTGCGTTGGGTCTTCGTTTCGGTGCACAGCCTTCTCACTGCTGTGGCTTCCCTTGTCGCGGAGCACGGGCTCTAGGCGCGCAGGCTCAGTAGTTGTGGCACACGAGCTTAGTTGCTCCGCGGCATGTGGGATCTTCCCGGACCAGGGATCAAACCCGCATCCCCTGCATTGGCAGGCGGATTCTTCACCACTGAGCCACCAGGGAAGCCCCCGAGGAATAGATTTTTAAACTTTTTCCTATTTCAGTTTTTCTCTTTCTCTCGAGACAGGGCTAACAAATTTTTTAAGGGCACTTCAAAGACATGCTCACCTCTAATTTACTATCCTTGTTGAAAAATAAAGTTTTTAAATGAAATGTAGAATTGGTGGGGGAAGGTGTACAGGGGAACAAAGAAGAGAAGAAAATATATTGATAGATCTGTAACTGTTTCCACACATTTTCTAGTTCTGAGAATTTGAGACTGTGGACATAAAATGGTTTCAGTACTTCAGAATGTAAACACTATTGTTTAAAGTTATATTTCCAGAAATCCTGCATCACTGTTCAGATACAAGCACTAAGGCTTGTGGATCTCAGCACATACCATATATAGTCAAGTTGCTATACATTGATCATCTGAGTATCTCATAGCATTCTTTAAGTTTGGAAGTCAAGCAAAACTTAACTTTACTAAAGGAGGTTTTTTTTTGTTTGTTTTTTGTTTTAAGGGAAGAAGAAGAAGAAATTGATGAAGAGGAATTGGAAAGATTGAAGGCAGAGTTAGATGAGAATAGACAAATGATTGCTACTGTCAAATGCAAGCCTTGGAAAATGGAAAAGAAAATTGAAGTTCTCAAGTATGGTGCCACTTTTCAAAATTAGAAACATTTTCCCTGCTATTGATCTCCCAAATTCTCTGAGTATTACCTATATATTATAGATAATACTATATGTGATACATCATATATATAATACTCATTATATATAATTTTCATGGTCATATATAACATATATGTTACCTATCATATAGTTAACATATATCATATCACTAGAGAGGCTGGGCTAATGATTATAAAAGAAAATCATGATTAAATTCATTATTTGGAGTCTTACAATCTCAGATCACTTTTAATCATTTGTTCCTTGAACTGAGAATTTTCTTAGTTTAATACATACATTACTATCTCTCTGAAGGAGATAATATATTTGAATTTTACAAGTTTGTTGGATTGCACACTCTAGTTTCTCTGCAGGGTTCCAGCCTCAAATGATATATTCATGTGACAGCTTTTATTAAAGCACAGGGAGGATGCTAAGCAAACAGAAGAGTAAACGGGATTCCAGTTAAGGATTACGCTAATAGCTATTCCCTGGTAACATGTAAGCGACCCAATTTCACTCTTTTGTTGAGTCTTGACACACTCAGAGACACATAGATTTATAAACTCCTGATAAAAAAAGTCAAATGTTTATCCCTTTCCCTTTTGGGATTGGAAGCAGATTCGCCTCTGAGGATCACACTATATTTCTTTGCATGGTGGTTTGGGGAAGTGGGGCATGAATAAAAGGGACCATGTCTGTGATAACAGCCATGTTTGCATCTCACAGATGTGATACAGATTGCATTTTGTACACAGAACAATTTTTATAAACAGTGATAAATTTCCAAAGCTATCCCTCCACAAGCCTATTTAACTAATAACGTTAAACATTATAGTGTATCTATAATAATGTTAAAGTCTTTTTGTCTCTGGTAATGAAAAAAACTGAAGCAGCTATCAGGATAATTCACTACTAATCCTGGCTCTGCAAGAGCTTGTGTGTTATTTAAGAAATTGGCTTAAACTTCTGGGGCCTCAGTTACCTCATATCCAAAATAAAACAAGATATTCCAGGTTTACCCTATGAGGTGGGAACCTAGGCATCATTTCTAATGTTATTGCTTTATTTCATGGAATAAGGTTTCCAAGTTCCAAACAGTGGTCTTCCCAGAAAGCTTTTGGAACACCACACAACTGTAGGCTGGGAACTACTTATGCATGTGCTTGTACACCAGCCATAAATGAAGGCAAAGACAAGTAGCGTTTCTGATTCCATGAAGCTATTAATGTATGTGCATATGCACGTGTGTGTGTGTGTGTCAAAGTAGTTTTCATTTAATGAAGTAATAATGATGCTAAATGATAGGTTTAGGAAACACCCTTACTTGGCAAAATAGAAGTTTGGTAACCTTATATTGTTTCCCAAAATATTGGGTGGGCCAAAAATTGTCCTCGGTATTTTAAGTAAAAATAAAAGACACATTTTTTATTTTCACCAAGAACTTTATTGGACAACGTATTCACCCTTTTGTTCCACTACCTTCTGCCATTTTTCAGACAACTTCATAATTCCATCTTCCCAAAACTTACCTTTTTGAGCAAAGAACTGTTCCAGGTACCTTTTACAGTCTTCCAGGGAACTGAACTTTTTTCCATTAAGAGAATTTTGTAAAGACCAAAATAAATGGAAATCCGAAGGTGCAATGTCTGGTGAATGTGGCAGATGAATCAGAACTTCCCAGCCAGGCTGTAACAGTTTTTGCCTGGTCATCAAAGAAACATGTGGCCTTGCGTTACCCTGATGAAAGATCATGCGTTTTCTGTTGACTAATTCTGGATACTTTTCATGGAGTGCTGCTTTCAGTTGGTCTAATTGGGAGCAGTACTTGTTGGAATTAATTGTTCGGTTTTCCGGAAGGAGCTCATAATAGAGGACTCCCTTCCAATCCCACCATGTACACAACATCAGCTTCTTTGGATAAAGACCGGCCTTTGGTGTGGTTGGTCGTTGTTCATTTCGCTTGCCCCACTATCTCTTCCATTCCACATCGTTGTACAGTATCCACTCTTCATCTCCTGTCACAATTTGTTTTAAAAATGGAACGTTTTCATTATGTTTCAGTAGAGAATCGCATGTGGAAATATGGTCAAGAAGGTTTTTTTCGCTTAACTTACTTGGAACCCAAACGTCAAAGCGATTCACATAACCAAGCTGGTGCAAATAACTTTCAGCGCTTGATTTGGATATTTTGAGTATGCTGGCTGTCTCCTTCATGGTATAAAGTTGATTGTTCTCAATTATTGTTTCTATTTGATCGCTATCAACTTCAACTGGTTTATCTGACCATGGAGCATTGGCCAGCGAGAAATCTCCAGCACGAAACTTTGCAAACCAGTTTTGACACATTCAGTCAGTCACAGCACCTTCTCCATACACAGCACAAATATTTTTGTGTGTTTCGCTTGCATTTTTACCTTTCTTGAAATAATAAAGCCTGATATACTGAAAATGTTGCTTTTTTCTTCCATCTTCAGTATTAAAATGGCTACACAAAAACTCACTAATTTTGATACTTTTTTTAATGCATGCTGATATGACAGCTGTTACATACAATCTAACAAAATTGTTTCAAATGAAGTTAAAGACAACTAAGTGCTGCTAGAGCCATCTTACAGAAAAAACCGAATGAACTTTTTGGCCTACCCAATATGTTTTGAAATATTGCTGACCATGAAATTCCCAAACCTGGGAACCACAGGTAACTGTATATAGAAAGTTGTAAAATTGGAAAGTGATAATATTGTGAACTGTCAAAGTGTGGTGTGAAACTGCATTAAAATGCCAAGCAATACATCCTCCCTTTCCACCTGCGTGGAGGTGTAGAAATACCCCCTCACTCTTCTTTGCCTGCATCTTCCATATAGGGCAGTGAAGAAGGGATGGGTTTCAGTCTTAAGTTTGAATCTCAGATCTTCCATTTAATACCTGTGCAAATTTGAATGAATTGTGTAGCCCTCTGACCTTGGGTTTCTTATGAAATTTTACTAATTTACAGGGCTATTGGAATCATAAAGTGAGTTGTTTCATATGAAACACTTAGCAGGGTGCCAGAACATAGCACAAAGCTGGGAAACACAAGTTGTAATTATTATTTCATCTCAGGACAGACTCAGTGTTGTCTGATTCCCTGCAGTATGACAGGAGAGATGGGAAGGGTACAGGACCTGGCAGGACTAGGTGGGAGCAGACTTAGCCATAGGCAACCCCAGGAGCCTTGGGGGATGGTGGCACATTGGTATAGCAGTCTGGATGGACAACTGATTTTGATGCTCCAACAAAGAAAAGAGGGTATCTTGACAGTTTGGCAGAATCCACGGTCAGCCGCTTTCAGATCTTCCAAAACGTACCCACAGGGTAATCTTGTGGCAGATTCCAGGTCCTGGGACCTTAGGCTGGAGTCCAGGGATAAAGCCATTTTTAGAGGCGGGGAGAGATAAGGGTTGGGATGGAAGGTATGGCAATACCATGCCCTATTACTAGGGCAGAGGTTGAAGATGGGGAGTCTGCCGCTGAATCTAGACTATAGGTGGTTTTTATTTGGCCCACATGCTTTTTGTTTCTTTTTCTTTTATTGTTTTTTTAAAACTTGTGATTAAATATACATAACGTAAAACTTACCATTTTAATCATCTGGGGGTGTATATTTTTATAAAAATGTTTTTTCTTTGTTGTTAAATTTTAAAAAGTGGGAGATTTCAGATTTTAAAAATCCAGATGTTCAGCTTCTCCTGGATAAGAAGAAAATCTGGTCCCCATTCCTACATGAAAATAATAGCTGGGGCTAAGCAATTGCTGTCCCCTACTAACAGGGCACTCCGTCTTCAGTGTGCACAGCTCCCAAACAAGCCACATCTCTTATTCACGCTCCTTGGCTGGACCTTATAAGCATTCAAGTTTGCTGCCTCTTATCCCTGTAGCTGGGGAGCAAGTTAGGCATGCTATCAAGACAGTGATTCAGAAAGTTGGAGTGAAAGCCAGCTTGCAGAATGGAAGCACAGATTTAGGCCCAGAGAAGAAACAACTATGGCTTCTCTCCTGTCAGCAATGCTCACTGTCTTGGGATGATTCTCCACAGCCAGAAATGGCTCCTGCTTTGTGGCTTTGCAGTATTGGCACAGCTGGTACCATTGGCCATGGTCAACCTGATTCTCTTGGTTTCAGCCTCTGTGATAAAGTCGGTACTACAGTGCCCGACCTGTCTCCCTTCGTAGGTTTCTGAATGCTGTACTGAGCTTCTCCCCCACAGGTTCCTATCACATATTAGATAGTGGTCAGTACTTCTGAGAACATGCAGTAAAGGTTCTCTACCCCAGTGTTACTAAAACATGGGAGTCAGGCAGCTTTCCTCCCACCCTTTTATTCCATTCAGAGACATCAAACTCTGAGAGAGTGTGTCTAAGGATTATATTATTCCCAGAAGTAGCCTCCAATCATCACTTCTGGCTAAGTCTATGGAATCCAAGGCACTAGGCTCAATATAACTGGAGCAGATATTTTCATCACAGGTTTGGATCTGTATCTAGGTTCTGAGGCTTCCCATCTGCCTCTGGACTCTGAAAAACTTGTGAAACTTCTAAGACAGAATTTACAGAGGGTCAAGGTTTTAAGATATGTTTTAAAGTAAAGCCTCAGGAATGGTAGCTTATGGTTCTGAGGATGCTGTAGGAGACTCAGGGGTAGTTCTCATATTTTGAAAGATTATCTACCACTAGGAACTTGAGCATTCTCACAGCTGAGGGTCAAACATTGGTTAATATAAGCAGTAAATACATAGGCACGAACCTCAAAGAATGGGTTATAAATCCATATGGACTCTCAAACATGGTTTAGGAACTGGAGCTCAGCATTTTTTTTTTTTTTTTTTTTTTTTTTTTTGCGGTACGCGGGCCTCTCACTGTTGTGGCCTCTCCCGTTGCGGAGCACAGGCTCTGGACCCGCAGGCTCAGCGGCCATGGCTCACGGGCCCAGCCGCTCC